TGTGAACTATGGTCTGTCTTGTTCATAAGTGAACTAAGGTCTGTCTGTCTGCGCAGTGTGAATTCACAGCCTGTTCGTTCATAAGGTGAATTTGCATCTGTCTGTTCAAGTGTGAACTATGGTCTGTCTGTTCAAGTGTGAACTATGGTCTGTCTGTTCAAGGGTGTGAATCCAAGGTCTGTCTGTTCTGGCGCGAACTAAGGTGTCTGTTCAGTTCAAAGTGGAACTAAGGTCTGTCTGTTCAAGTGTGATCCAAGGTCTGTCTGTTCAAGGCGTGAACTTATGTCTGTCTGTTCATAAGTGTAACCTGCGGTCTGTCTTTGTTCATAAGTGTGAACTAAGGTCTGTCTGTTCATAAGTGTGAACTAAGGTCTGTCTGTTCATAAGTGTAACGGGTGTCTGTCTGTTCATAAGAGTGAATCCATGGTCTGTCTGTTCATAAGTGTAGAATCCAAGGTCTGTCTGTTCATAAGTGTGGAATCTCAAGGTCTGTTCGTTCATATGTGAACTATGGTCTGTCTTGTTCAAGGTGAACTAAGGTCTGTCTGTTCACAAGTGTGAACTACAGTCTGTCTGTTCATAAGTGTGAATCCAAGGCCCTGTCTGTTCATAAGTGTGAAACTGGCGTCCAGTCTGTTCATAAGTGTGAACTAAGGTCTGTCTGTTCATAAGTGTGAACTAAGGTCTGTCTGTTCATAAGTGAACTATGGTCTGTCTTGTTCATAAGTGTGAATCCACATCTGTCTGTTCATAAGAGGAAATCCAGGTCTGGTCTGTTCATAAGGTGAATCAAGGTCTGTCTGTTCATAAGTGTGAACTATGGTCTGTCTGTTCATAAGTGTGAATCTGGGTCTGTCTGTTCATAAGTGTGAATCCAAGGTCTGTCTGTTCATTAAGTGAATCCAAGGTTCCCTGTCTGTTCATATGTGAATCCAAGGTCTGTCTGTTCATAAGTGTGAACTAAGGTCTGTCTGTTCAAGTGTGAACTAAGGTCTGTCTGTTCACAAGTGTGAACTATGTATCTGTCTGTCTTGTTGTAAGTGAACCAAGGTCTGTCTGTTCATAAGTGTGAACTAAGGTCTGTCTGTTCATAAGTGTGAACTAAGGTCTGTTCGTTCCGCGTGAACTAAGGTCTGTCTGTTCATAAGTGTGAACTATGGTCTGTCTGTTCATAAGTGTGAATCAAGGTCTGTCTGTTCATAAGTGTATCCAAGGTCTGTTCGTTCATAAGTGTGAATCCGTTACCCTGCCCGTTCATGGGTGAATCCAAGGTTCTGTCTGTTCCATAAGGTGAACTAAGGTCTGTCTGTTCACAAGTGTGAAATTAAGGTCTGTCTGTTCATAAGCGTGTGAATTCATGGTCTGTCTGTTCATAAGTGAATCATGGTCTGTCTGTTCATAAGTGTGAACTAAGGTCTGTCTGTTCATAAGTGTGAACTTAAGGTCTGTCTGTTCATATGTGAACTAAGGTCTGTCTGTTCATAAGTGTAGAACTTGCTGTCTGTCTGTTCATAAGTGTGAACTAAGGTCTGTCTGTTCCATAAGTGTGAACTAAGGTCTGTCTGCTCACAAGTGTGGAACTAAGGTCTGTCTGTTCATAAGTGAATCCAAGGTCTGTCTGTTCATAAGTGTGAACTAAGGTCTGTCTGTTCATAAGTGTGAATCAAGGTCTGTCTGTTCATAAGTGTGAACTAAGCGTCTGTTCGTTCATAAGTGTGAACTAAGGTCTGTCTGTTCATAAGTGAACCAAGGTCTGTCTGTTCATAAGTGTGAACTAAGGTCTGTCTGTTCATAAGTGTGAACTATGGTCTGTCTGTTCATAAGTGTGAACTATGGTCTGTCTGTTCATAAGTGTGAATCTTGCTGTCTGTCTGTTCGCTAAGTGTGAATCAAGGTCTGTCTGTTCATAAGGGGAATCTGTTGTCTGTCTGTTCATAAGTGTGAATTGCTGTCTGTCTGTTCATAAGTGAATTCAAGGTCTGTTCATGTTCATAAGTGTGAATCCAAGGTCTGTCTGTTCATAAGTGTGAATCCAAGGTCTGTCTGTTCAAGGCGTGAACTAAGGTCTGTCTGTTCATAAGTGTAAAACTAAGGTCTGTCTGTTCATAAGTGTGTGAACTAAGGTCTGTCTGTTCATAAGTGAACTGGCGTCTGTCTGTTCAGTAAGTGTGAACTATGGTCTGTCTGTTCATAAGTGTGAAACTGGCTAGTCTGTCTGTTCATAAGTGTGAACTAAGGTCTGTCTGTTCATAAGTGTGAACTAAGGTCTGTCTGTTCATAAGTGTGAACTAAGGTCTGTCTGTTCACAGGAACGAAGGTCTGTCTGTTCATAAGTGTGAACTATGTCTGTCTGTTCATAAGTGTGAATCATGGTCTGTCTGTTCATAAGTGTGAACTAAGGTCTGTCTGTTCATAAGTGTGAATCCATGTCTGTCTGTTCATAAGTGTGAACTAAGGTCTGTCTGTTCATATGTGAATCTGGCGTCTGTTCAATTCATAAGTGTGAACTAAGGTCTGTCTGTTCATAAGTGTGAACTATGGTCTGTCTGTTCATAAGTGTGTGTGGAACGGCGGTCTGTCTGTTCAAGTGTGAATCTGCTAGTCTGTCTGTTCATAAGTGGGGAACGAAGCGGTCTGTCTGTTCATAAGTGTGAATCAAGGTCTGTCTGTTCATAAGGGTGTGAACTAAGGTCTGTCTGTTCATAAGTGTGAATTCATGTCTGTCTGTTCATAAGTGTGAACTAAGGTCTGTCTGTTCATAAGTGTGAACTAAGGTCTGTCTGTTCATAAAGTGTGAACTATGGTCTGTCTGTCTTCATAAGTGTGAACTAAGGTCTGTCTGTTCATAAGTGTGAATCATGGTCTGTCTGTTCATAAGTGTGAATCCAAGGTCTGTCTGTTCATAAGTGTGAACTAAGGTCTGTCTGTTCATAAGTGTGAATCAAGGTTCACCACCATAAGTGTGGTCTTAAGGTCTGTCTGTTCACAAGTGTGAAACTATGGTCTGTCTGTTCATAAGTGTGAACTTATGGTCTGTCTGTTCATAAGAGTGAATCTGCTGGGTCTGGTTCTGCTCATAAGTGTGAATCCATGGTCTGTCTGTTCATAAGTGTGAACTAAGGTCTGTGGTCTGTTCATAAGTGTGAACTTGCTGTCTGTTCTGGTTCATAAGTGTGAACTAAGGTCTGTCTGTCATAAGTGTGAACTACAACTAATCTGTTCATAAGTGTGAACTAAGGTCTGTCTGTTCATAAGTGTGAACTAAGGTCTGTCTGTTCATAAGTGTGAACTATGGTCTGTCTGTTCATAAGTGTGAACTATGGTCTGTCTGTTCATAAGTGTGAACTAAGGTCTGTCTGTTCATAAGTGTGAACTAAGGTCTGTCTGTTCATAAGTGTGAACTAAGGTCTGTCTGTTCATAAGTGTGAACTATGGTCTGTCTGTTCATAAGTGTGAACTATGGTCTGTCTGTTCATATGTGAATCCAAGGTCTGTCTGTTCATAAGTGTAGAACTATGGTCTGTCTGTTCATAAGTGTGAATCCATGGTCTGTCTGTTCATAAGTGTGAACTAAGCGTCTGTCTGTTCATAAGTGTGAACTATGGTCTGTCTGTTCATAAGAGTGAATCCAAGGTCTTGCCTTGTTCATAAGTGTGAACTGGTGGTCTGTCTCAAACCATAAGTGTGAACTAAGGTCTGTCTGTTCATAAGTGTGAACTACAATCTGTCTGTTCATAAGTGTGAACTAAGTTGTCCGTCTGTTCATAAGTGAATCCAAGGTCTGTCTGTTCATAAGTGTGAAACCATGGTCTGTCTGTTCATAAGTGTGAATCCGATGGTCTGTCTGTTCACAAGTGTGAATCCAAGGTCTGTCTTTGTTCATGGCGTGAACTAAGGTCTGTCTGTTCATAAGTGTGAACTAAGGTCTGTCTGTTCATAAGGGGAATTAAGGTCTGTCTGTTCATAAGTGTGAACAAGGTTCCATCAACGTTCACAAGCGTTCAAACGTATTCAGGACTCATTGAACGTTCACAAGCGTTCATAAGCTTTCCCTGGCGTTCACAAGCGTTCACAAACTTCCAGGACTATTCAGCGGCGATTAAAAGCTCTCGTTGGCGTTCAGAAATGTTCACAAGAGTTCACAAACGTCTAGGACCTCCCATAAGGCGTCTAAGCTTTCGTGGACGTTCAAGAATGTTCACAGGTGTTCAGGGGAACTAACCATCGCGCCCACAATTAGATTTGGATGGACGGTCGAGTTTACCTGAAGTTCACTCACCTGTGTGTGTGTGTGTGTGTTTACGTCAGTTTGTGTGTGTATGTATGTACGTATGTGTATTTACGTCACTTTGTGTGTGCGTGTCTTTGTCATGTTAGCTAAAAACTTAGGTCTCTCTCTCTCTCTCTCTCTCTCTCTCTCTCTCTCTCTCTCCTTTATATTTTTCCTCACATTAAGTTTCACTATCTTTATAACGCGAAAGTTGAACCCCGGGAAAAATTACCCCGATTTTTGGCGGATATTATTTTTGCGATGTTTGTTTATTTAAGCGGCGTCTTAACTTCGCGTTTTTCTTTACTTGTACTCTGTGAAATTAGTTTTTTTATGTGAATTATTTGATTTGGTTTAGTTCAGTAAATTTTCGATCAGGTTGGGTTAGGTTAGATTAGGTCAGGTTAAGTGACTTGTATTCTACATTTAATTACTGTTGCTAATTCTTTAAAATGGAGAAGAAGGTATAATAAAAGGAAGAAGAGAAAAGGGAAGGGTAATGGAAAAGAGGGAAAAGTAAAAGGCAAGGAAAGCGGAAAGCAGTGTGGAAGGGAAGGAAAGGGGAGAGAGAGAAAGAAGGGGAAATAGTGAAGGGAAGGGGAGGCCGTAACACACACACACACACACACACACACCTTCCTGCCTGGGTGGTGGAGGAGGAGGAGGAGGAGGAGGAGGATAGCTGTGATGGTGGTGGTGGTGGTTGTTGAGGATTGGTGGTGTTGGTGGGTCGTGCGTCAGTTCCCTGTGGGCCACCGTCTCGTGTGCACGTGTACGACTCCGTGTCTACTTACGTCCACTCCCACCTGTGTTAATACCTGTACGTCAACAACTATCACCACTACTACAACTACCACTACTGTTGCTACTACCACTACAATTTGTATCAGTATTACATCTACGCGATTACTATTGCTATTACAACTACTACTACCACCACCACCATAGCAACTACTAATACTAGTACCAATACCGACACTACAACTATTCCTCTACTACTATCACCATTATCATCACTACTACACCGACGCTGCTACTATAACTAACACAATTACCATCAATACCATTTCTACTAACACTACTACCACCACAAGTCCTACCACCACCACTACCACAATTATTAACAGTACTGACACCACTGTACCGTTACTACCACCACTACTACCACTACCACCAAGCAACATTTCCACCATCTGCAACCATAACAACCACAACCACAACCCGGATAAGAGATAATCAATAATAACAAAAATAATAAATAATAATAATAAATAATAACAATAAAAGATAAAAAGGCGCGGGAAAAAACGTAAACAAACGGACCAACGATAAACAAAACATGAAGTAAACGTGTTTTTCGTTGTTGTTTTTTAACGAGTGAGGAATGAAAGACCAAACGAGAATAAAGAAGCAATAAAGCAAACGGTAGAATAAATTTATCACCAAGAGGAGGAGAATAAAGAAGAAAAAGAAAAAAAAAGATAATTTAGTTTACAAAAGATAGAAATTATTAAGTTTACTTCAGACACCACGGAGGAACACAAGAGGTGAGTAAACTCCTGTAAACTGATGACGAAGTGGTGGAGTGTACCATAGGTGTAGTGGGGTGTACCATAGGTGTAGTGGGATGTAAACTGGAGTGTACCATAGGTGTAGTGGGGTGTACCATAGGTGTAGTGGGGTGTAAACTGGTGGAGTGTACCATAGGTGTAGTGGGTGTACCATAGGTGTAGTGGGGTGTAAACTGGTGGAGTGTACCATAGGTGTAGTGGGGTGTAAACTGGTGGAGTGTACCATAGGTGTAGTGGGGTGTAAACTGGTGGAGTGTACCATAGGTGTAGTGGGGTGTAAACTGGTGGAGTGTACCATAGGTGTAGTGGGGTGTACCATAGGTGTAGTGAGGTGTAAACTGGTTTGCAAGAGCAAGTGCATATATGTAGCTCGTAAACTGCTTTAAAAGGTTGTTAGTCTCCATTAAACTCTATAGGCGTAAACTGCTGTTAAAATGGTGTAAGTTGCTGTAAACTAAGTCATGTGTAAACAGCTGTAATGTGATTTATATTTTTTTGTAAACTTATGAGTAATGACGCGAATCCCATACTTTGACGCAAGCTTATTTAAATGTGTGTATTTGGACACAAACTTATTTTAAAGTCCGTATTTTGGCGAAATTGAGTCAGGCCAACGCATGGACTCTCTCTCTCTCTCTCTCTCTCTCTCTCTCTCTCTTTTCCCTTTACCTGTAACTTCTTGTCACCTGTTGAAGTCACTGGGTGGAGACGCTTCCTCTCCCCGCCCTCTTGTGTGTGAGAGGGAGGGAGGGAGTAAAAGGTGGGAGAATAGGAGAAAGGTGAATAACAGAAAAGGAGGATAGAGAGAGAAGGATAATGGCAAGGGAGAAGAGATGACGTGTATGTGGGTAGGGGCGTACTTTATGTCAGGGGGACGAAGAAGCACGGGAAGGGAGAGGATAGTAGGAGGGAGGGAGGATAGTGGGGGGAGCGGGTGGGGAGGAGGTAAGACGTTGGGGAGGAAGCAAGAGGGCGCGTCAGGGTGAGGGAGGAGGTTGCTTTTAGAGGGGTTGTAGTGGGCGGTGGTGGGGTTACAGAAGGTCCCTTGTATCACCTCCCCTCATCCCTCCCTTCCTCCCCATCTCCCCAAACGCCTCCCTCATTCCACCATCTCCCCACCCTCCTCAGGATTCCTCCTCTTCCTCCCCTCCAGCTTCCTCCTTCTTCTCCTAATACACCCCAGTTCTAATAGGCCCCATTACACCCCAGTTCCTATAGGCCCCAGTTCTAATAGGCCCCAGTCGTAATAGATACACGTCACAATCCTGTAAACCAAAGTTTTAATAGACCCAATTTTAACGGGCTAAGCACCCTAACCTTACCATTTTGGATTGGGGCCTATTAAGATTGTGGCTTTTATAGACGTACCTCTTAACCCGGGTCTATTAACCTGGGGCCCCAATAGAACTGGTACCTATGGCACTAGAATCTAATAAACCCGGGCCCCATTAGTTCTGCCATCTATTAGTACTAGGATCAAATGGCCCGGGGCCCCATTAGTTCTGCCATCTATTAGTACTAGGATCTATTAAGCCCGGGGCCCCATTAGTTCTGCCATCTATTAGTACTAGGATCTATTAAGCCCGGGCCCCATTAAGTTCACCATCTATTAGTACTAGAATCTATTAAGCCCGGGGCCCATTAGTTCTGCCATCTATTAGTACTAGGATCTATTAAGCCCGGGCCCCATTAGTTCTGCCATCTATTAGTACTAGGATCTATTAAGCCCGGGGCCCCATTAGTTAAGGCATCTATTAGCACTAGATCTATTAAGCCCGCCCCATTAGTTCTGCCATCTATTATACTAGGATCTATTAACCCTAAATTATTAGTATTAGCCTACTTCAATAGCTGCACTAGGGAAGCACACAACCCGGCCAGGTGGTTTCAGGCCCCCTTGGGTTCACCTGTGCACGCTTCCAAAATGTCACTTTGTTTTGTCCTGAGACTGTACTTTGGGGTGGGGGTAAGTGAAGGCTGAGAGACTGAGGCTCTATAAACAACACCAAAAGTGATTAAATTATTATTATTAGTAGTAGTAGGATCGGTCCAACACACTGAACATCATGGTCTGAAAGTCTCCCGGAAACCCAGACTAACTTACTCCTGGAGTGGCTTAACACTGTGCTGACCTGACCTGTTCCCCTCCTTCTCCTGCCTCTTCCTCCTCACCCCACGTCACGACCTCCAACCTCCTCCTCCTCTGGCCTGTTACTCCCATTCCTTCCCTCCACCTCCCTTCACACCCCTCCATCACCCTCACCATCTTTCTCCACACCCTTCCATACACACCAATGCCTGCCTCAAATTAGCCTTACACTCCTCACACCTTCCTCACCTCTCACACTTCCTCACCCCATTTCCACCCTTAGAACTCAGTGAGGAAGGTGGTGTTAGAAAGGGGTGGGGGTTGTACTCTTTAGTGGTGAGTGGAATGCAAATCACAGAACGGGGTTAAAGGCAGGGGGCGGTGTGGCTACGTGTATTTGCTGTGCACGCGTGTGTGGGGGGGTAGTAGGGGTGGCAGGGAAAGAGAGGGGTGGGTGGAAGGGTGGGCAGGTGGCAGGGAAAGAGAGGGGGTGGGTGGAAGGAAGGAAAGGTTGGAGGTGGATGGAGGGAAGGAAGGGAGGATGGAGGGTAGGAAGGAAGGGAAGATGGAGGGTAGGAAGGAAGGGAGGATGGAGGGTAGGAAGGAAGGGAGGATGGAGGGAAGGAAGGGAGGATGGAGGGTAGGAAGGGAGGATGGAGGGAAGGAAGGGTGGAGGGTAGGAAGGAAGGAAGGAGATTCGAACCCTATGATCTTGTAAACACACGAAAAAAAATTCTGACAGCCAACCACGACCGCACTACCAATCACTTAATCACCCGGTTATTGGGTCATCCAATCATCTACTCACCCGGTTAATCAGTGATTCAGCCTTCCAATCACTAAGTTATTCACCTCCAATCACCTAATCTCCCAGTTATTCACTTCCAGTCATGCAATCACCCATTTAGTCGGTCCTCCAGTCAGTCATTCATTCATACAGTTACTTACAGTTATCCAGTCATCTAATCCCTCAGTCATTTATTGCCAGAATCATCCAATCATTCAGTCATGCAGTCGATTAGTAGCAGAGAGAGAGAGAGAGTTTCCATGCAGGCGCCGTCATGCACACTCAGGAAACAGTCATGAGTCGGTCATGCGTGTTCCTGTCATAGTCATGCAGGGAGTGTGACGAGGTCTCTCTCCCATCTCCCTCTCATTCTTTCTTTTCTTCCCCTACTCCCTCTTATTTTCTCCCTCTCTCCTCTCATCCTTTTTCTCTTTTATTCTCATTCTCTCACTTTACCTTCCCCCTCACTCCCACTCCCCCCCACTCTCTCCCTTCCCCCCACTCTCTCCCACAGGACAGTCAATATATTACTGTGGATTGGGTGACACAGCTGAGACGGGGGAGAAGGGAGGGAGGTAGGTAGGCAGGGAGGGAGGTAGCCAGGGAGGGAGGTAGGCAGGGAGGGAGGTAGCCAGGGAGGGAGGTAGCCAGGGAGGGAGGTAACCAGGGAGGGAGTGGAGGGAGGGAGGTAGCCAGGGAGGGAGGTAGGCAGGGAGGGAGGTAGCCAGGGAGGGAGGTAGCCAGGGAGGGAGGTAACCAGGGAGGGAGTGGAGAGGGAGGGAGAAAGACTCCACTGTGTACTGTTGGTTTGATGGTGGGGGCGTGGCCCTCTGGGGGAGTGTCTACACAGCCCTCTGGGAGGTGTTTGTGGTCCTCCTGAGGGGTGTATCTGGCCATCTGGGGGAGTGTGTGACCTGGGAGGGGGGCGTGGTCTTGGGGAAGGGGGTGTGGTTTGGGATGAAGGGGGCGTGGTCTGGGAAAGGAGAGTGGTCTGGGATGAAAGGGGGCGTGGTCTGGGGAAGGGGGCGTGACCTTCTGGTATCCATAAAGTATTCTTAACTCCATATTTACACACACAAAAAAAAATCATCATCTGGCAACAACTGACTTGAATGACGTCACAGTGTCGTCACGGGATGATCCTCCAACCACAAACTCATTTACATACTGTGGCGGGTTATACACAGAGGCTCCTTGTTGATCCTGTCGTGTGATGTATCCTATGTATCCTAGACCTGTATCCTGGACCTGTCATGACCTGTATCCTGGACCTGTCATGACCTGTATCCTGGACCTGTCATGACCTGTATCCTGGACCTGTCATGACTGTATCCTGGACCTGTCATGACTATCCCTGAACCTGTCATGACTGTATCCCTGGACCTGTCATGACCTGTATCCCTGAACCTGTCATGACTGTATCCTGGACCTGTCATGACCTGTATCCTCAGACCTGTCTTGGCTGCATCCTGGACCTGTCATGGCTGCATCCTGGACCTGTCATGACCTGGCATCCTGGACCTGTCATGACCTGTATCCTGAACCTGTCATGACTGGCATCCCTGGACCTGTCATGACCTGTATCCTATGGACCTGTCTGTGACTGTATCCTGGACCTGTCTTGTGACTGTATCCTGAACCTGTCATGACTGTATCTGGACCTGTCATGACTGTATCTGAATAAGAGATGAAGGGTGGGACGAGAGAGATGGGAGGTGGAGGGGCTAGCGAGAGGGTAGTGAGGAGTGAGAGGGTGAAGGACACAAGGCTTCATGCCCCTCACTTGACATTTAATAAAGGACTGTGCTTAGCACTGTGGTGTTGAGGGGGTACTGGGGAGGGGGATGTCTTCTAGTGGAAAAAGGGGAAGGGGTGAGGTTAGGAGGTAGGGAGTAAAAGACTCACCTATTGACCATAAAAACAACAAAAGGCGTAAACCATCTGTGTGTGTGTGTGTGTGTGTGTGTGTGTGTGTGTGTGTGTGTGTGATAACTCAAGGACGGGAAGACTTACCTGCTCAAACGTGGTGACTGTATTCGTCATGGCAGCGTCTACAGCTGTATTGATTTAAGGGTCAAGAGGTCACTTTAGGGGTCAGAT